CATGAAGTGATAGAGCTGGGATTCTGACACCGACCTGTGGGCTCCCAGACCTTTGTTGTTTCTACTTGGCCAAACTCTCTATGTCTCATCCCTGCAGTGAGGGCTAAGGCTTTCCATCTGGGACAGCTGGGGGCGCAGAAGAAGGGGCAGAGACTGGGTAACTGGAGCCTGATTCCTGCCACCCTCTGCACTCAATATCTCTTATAAACAGACCCACCCATGACTCTACCTTTCCTCCACAATCAGAAGTAGGAGTCCTCACTCCCCCTTCTCAACAAACCTGTTCTTTTTTATTATTTTTGGAGAGGTTTTTCGCTATAGGGCGCGTGCGCTCGCCAGACAGACAGAGAGAGACATAGAGACAGAAAACGAGAAATCACCCCCCAGAGGGGATGGTCACGCCGCAATCCCTTCTCCTCCATTCTCCTCTCGGGATCTTGGGCACACACGCACACGTGCCCGGTGTGAGTTTTAAGCCACCGGGTCCCATATGCGAACCGCGGTTGACTACGTGGGAGTCCAGTGACATAGCCATTACGCTAACTGCTGGTTCCCAACAAACCTGTTCTTGAAGAGTGAAAGAGCTCAGGAAAAGGTTCCTGGTTCCTACTGTGTGCCTTGGGAAAGTCCCCTTAACTCCTGGTTAGGAGCAATCCTCCACCTGTTCAGCAAGAAGGAGGTTGTGAAAGAACATGATTTCCTGTGATTGCGGCTAATTCTCCTGGGGAGACCAGCCTTGAGCTGAGAGCTAGGGTGCCTGGGTTTCATTGGTGGCTCTAGAATTTCTACAAAGTAAAGGCTTAGAGTCAGCCACTTGGTCCAAGGGGGGCTGAAGCTGCATTTGCAGAGCACTTTCCGTGAAACCGTTCAAGGTGGCTGGGGAGGCTGGTCCATAGAGATTGCAGTGGGTGGGGGGAAGACTTCCCAAGGCAATCCCTAGCACTGCCTCTGCCTGGCTTCAAGCTCTTGTCTCACTGTGTGACCTTGGTTCCGACTTGGGAACCCTCTAGAGGTGGGGTGAACTCCTAGGATGAGCGTTTATATTCGAGGATGTGTGCATTAATGAGTGAAGGCAATGTTGAGGGTGAGTCCATGGCTTTGTGGAGATGGGTTGGGACCTGTCCTTGGAGGGTGTTATCTCCAGGGTGTGGGCAAGTGGCAGGGAAGTGGAGATGTGCTTTTCTGCCCAGGACTGTGGCTTCTCAATAAAGGCTGTTGGGAGCCTTTAATAATATTACTAACATTATCATAGCAACGGATATTAACTGTTTACTAACTGCTTACTATAGAGCAGACATGGCTCTAAGCATTATATAGATGATTTAATTTACCTGCTGCAACTCCTTGTGAAGTAAATTCTATTCTCCCCAATTCACAGAAGAGGCAAATGAGACTTCAAGATTCTTAAGATCAGTAGCAATGCAATCAGGAAGTGTACCAGGCAGTCTACCTCTGAGACCAACTTGGACCCCTACTCTAAACTGCTCTTGAGAGGAGAGGGGGTTCATCAGCCTTTATGCACACCTTGTCCAGCTCCTAGTTTGAACCAGTCAACAGTGAGGAATCTGTTGTTCCTTTACATCTGGTTTGTGTGTATGACAGTCTCTGTCATTTATCTGTGACACATGGTGACAGTGCTGTGGGAAGGGGGAGGTTTAGCTGTAGTTCTTTAAGAGGCAGGGAGGGGGCTCTGCTTGGCGCATAGTAGTTGTTTAATAAATATTTGTGGACTAAATATACGAATGTGTACATGTGGTCCTCCTACTTGACTATAGGCCCTGGAGCATGAAGATGAGGCTGCAAGGGTCAGGACCAGCTCCAGAGCATGATCCAGAGGCCCCCCTGCTCCCTCCAGCTCCCATATACCCTCATCAGCCAGGCCCCTGCTCCCCTAGTGAAGCTCTGTCTGGCTTGAGACCACAGCAGAAAAACAGCCAAGAGCATCCTCATCTTTAAGATGGACCAAGGAAACCCTGCATCACCTGGCTGCAGGGCAGCTAAGTGGTGATAGGACAGACATGAACATGGCATGCTGACCATCATTGTGGGGAGAGGAAAAAGTCAGCCTGGGCTTAAAGGGTTAAGAGATGAGGTCAGAGTCTCTAGAGCAGCAGGCCAGACTGTTGACCGCCAGCGCCCTGAACCAATCCCCAGGGGTAAGGGATCTGGCTAGGAAGAGGAAGTGGGAGGGGAGGGGGGAGGGATTCCTGAGGACTAGGCTTTCCTGAACCTTGGCACAAGCTTAGGGATGCAGAGGGGAGGCAGAGATTGAGGAGGTGTTAGGGAAGAGATTTAAGAGGGAAGAATGGAACCATCTTGTGATTCTGAGTCTAGAAGACACCAGAACCCCATGCCAGGCAGACAGGACAATATTAGGAAGAAGGAGGATGTGAAGGGGGCTGTAGGCTGGGCGCATGGAATCTAAAATGTATAGTGAGGAGGGCACTCTTAGAAGGTCTCCTGACAGGTGTCTTTTGCTGGGAACTTAACCCGGAAGCCAGCATCCCACATGGCTCTCTCCTGGGGTTAGCTTTTCACTGAAGGTAGCTCTTGGCCCATTATAGGTACACAAAACTTCCATCCCTGATACCTGGCCTTGGGACGGAGAGAGTAAATAAATAGAATTTATCATAGTTTCAGGTTCAACAGTCAGCACTGAGAGTGCCAGCTAACCCTCTGGAGGGCAGCAGCCATCAGTTAAATGCTACATAACTGCGCTGCTGAGCCGGAAGAGGAGTGGCAACCCTAGAACCACTGCCAAATTTGCTCACTTGTGATGAACAAACCTTAACCAGTTGCCCGACTTGGGCCGGGCCATGCCAGAGTCTGGACATTAGTAGGCTGGGCCCTAGACCTGGCTCTACCAATGGGGGTAGCATAGTACTAGGCTCCTCACCCTCCTCCCTGCATGCCCCCTGCTCATCGCTCCTTGCACTCCCCTCCCCATTTCCTTTCTTCTCT